ATACAATTTATACATGATGTAAATTTATACAATATGTTTATACAATTCTCTTTTAATTACATTAATAGAATTAATCATTAAATTTACATCATATAGTGTAAATTTCTTGTTGCGTCGATGCAGCTTTACTCAAAATTACACTTAAGTTCTCATCTCTTATTTTACATGATAAATATTGTTTTGAATAGATCTTTATAAATCTTTATAAATCTTTATAAATCGTTTTCGCGTAATTTTGTCTTGTAATTTCTCTTCGTAACTGTATGTGATAAATATGAGTGTTGTATACGAGGAATGCAATCTTTGCAAATAGATCAGTAAAGTTTCTGCCGAATTTACGTACACTTGTCTATTTGGGCGTGCGTTTTCCGCACCACAGTCGGAGTTATGAACGGGCGTCGTTCGTTTATCTTTCGCTTTTCACGGTGGAGAGACGAGACGTATCTACGAAATAAGAAAATGATTGGAAAGGGGTCGTCGCGTGCCGTCACGTTTTCTCTCGCTGCGTGACCCGCACACGCGTGCGTCGTGCGTCACTTCGGGTTCTACGCGCGCACATTCCGCGCGACGCGCCGTGTCACACACGACGACAAATTTCACAAAATGCCGTGCATTCCGCGATCACGAACTACGGACTTTTCTCTTCGGGGGACGAAGAGACCGAGCGCCGCTCGTAAATTCAGCCGAGATCTACGACGAAGCTTAGCGCGAGCCGCAGGATCGCCGACGCGAATCGAGCGAGCTGCGAGATTAATCTCGCGAACGATTTACGGCGGTTCACCTGTGAGAGATCGGCTGTGGTCTTCTGATGAATTGAGAATGGAGGATTGATTTGGGAACGGAAGCGCGAGTTCGTTGCTGAAGATGACGAACACTCCACGTTTCGTCGACGAGAAGTTCCTTTCGACATGCATCTCGATGATTCACGTGGTTTTTCCTAAGGCACTCGAATTGTTACGCGGGTAGTTTATAGCTCAACTGTATGATGAACAATTTCACTCCTATAGTAATAAACTAGACTGAATTCACCGAAGGTGAGAGAAGATATTATCAATTTTCGGACATCACTAAATGAAAATTTGATTTGCTCATAGTGTTTATGTCATACACACGGAGAAAATGTTGTAGTAAAAACGATAAAATTTTGTAATCTTAGAAGTACAAAAAATACGACCGGGATTATGATATATTTGTTAAAAAATATTATATACGTTTGAATTTCTACTACGAAATTGTTGTGATTGTTTGAATATTTTTTATATCATATAGGTCGTTGAATTTGCTATTTCTGTAGTAATTTATATTGTAATTTCGATACAAACCAGTTTTATTGCAAATATTGTAAAATAAATAACTGTATAATTGTAAAAATACAATTGTAAAGTTCAAATGAATAACTTTTAAAATTGTAAAAATTATAACTCATAAGCGTAATTTTTCGCATTGACGCGAATTTAACTACAATATTTTCCCCGTGTGCATTTCTTGGGTCCATGTGGAAGACTCATTAGTGCACTACGTCTTTACTTTCGCTATGCACTCCCCAACGTCGGGGCCGTGGCGCCCCAACGTTAACGACGAGGTCTCGTCTCAGTCGCATACACGATAAGAATGTTAATGCAGTTTCACATAGCACGATCTGTCAGCTAGCTCGCTTAGGTATGTAGGTTCTGGTTGCGGCAAGAGAATCGTCAAAACGTACGATGACGATGACGACGACGTCGACGACGACGAATGTCGCGTCCTTTTTGCGATTCCGAGTGCGACGACCGACGACGGCGCGGCTTTTGCATACAATCACGCCTCGTTGGGGAATAATTAGCCGTCCCGGTTGTTCGTCAGCAGCGCGCGCGAGGTGCTAATCGATACACCGCGCGCGATCGAGCCGTCCCAAACTCATCTCCCATCGATGAACCGCGACCGGGAACTTGGGTGAGGCGCGAGCGAGGCGGTTTTAGCATTGCAAATAGCGTATAAACGAGACGTGACTGGCGTGACCCTTTCTTTCCGTGGTCGCGTGAAACGAATGTCCCATTTAGCGTGAAAATCGAGTCCTGCATGCGTGGAGCTTTTACGATGCGCGACCACGTGAAAGTCGTATCTGTGCGAACGGACGAATTTACATTCGCGGAGGCGATCGATTCGTTTGTGTGCTTTATTTAAAAGTCGCACACAAATCAGCTTCGGATTCTACTTCGGTTTCTCGAGCCCGTCGCGAGTTTAAAATACGCGTGATAATGATCCATTCGCGCCGAAAAGCGTGCCTGGAGATTTTTCACGTCTATTTTCAGAATGCAAATTGGGCTGCCGGAAAGGTGCTGAGAGGGAAGCTATTAATGAAATTCATGGGTACGAACATCGATCGCATGCGAATTACGCGTTCATGTCTGCAAAAGCGTATTCTATCTAGCGTTAATTGAGCTTACATTAAGAATATTGCCGCATACCGTGCGATTAACGTAAACATCATGTAAATGCGGCCCATCCATATTCAGCAGCGTGCATTGATGCCGAGCCCTATATATATCCACGAAATTAGCAACATTAACGAAATTCGCTGTCCCGTCGCTGCCCGGATAGAAATTTAAAACGGGGATTAAAAAGGCCTAGACAGCTTCTCTCTACTTTTTATCAAGGCCCCGTACATACAGGGGGCCTTCGCGCCTATCAAAATCATAAAAAATTTTGTAACACTAAAAAATTCATACTTATCTAACTATTTAAAAAATATAGTAACACTCATCGAAATACTTACCTTACAATCATTAACTATTAATGAATAATCTTTTTTTCACTGAAATCGTTCGAGAAATTGGCTAACTTGCTTTTGACCAAGCTTTATTAACACAAGCCTCATTTGGAACATTCACATCAGTATCAATTTATGACCTATTCGTGAAATTCCATTTAGGAGTTGCTTATTTTGGCCTTATTTGAGTCCTACGAAAGTATGTCTATTTTTCTAGGGCCACTACATATTTAAAACACCCCGATTAATTTCTATTCGAGTCATTTTACATATATCTGAAATGATGCGTATCTCCTCTTTAATTGCCTACTTCTTTTCGCCACTATTACCGTCCTGTCGCGACGTTTCTCTTGTCCGACGTCTTGTCCGTCTATTTTCAGATGAAAGTCAAAGATTATGTTTATTACATTTTTCTTTACGTCACTTTCCCGATACTTACTTTTGTCGTCGTGTTTGCCAAAAGTCCAATTTACTACGGGCTAGGGCGAATTTTGGGCTTTCAGTGAAGCAAACAATTCATTGTGTAGGAGGAAACGTTCCTACACTTTTGTTTCCCAAATAATTTCCACTCGCGGACCCACCATCTGTCCTAACTTTCAGTCCGAGCACTTGCGCCGTTTCCTGCGAACACCTCTCGTGCTCGTCGAGGACCTTCGTACTCGTAAGGATACTCCTTTAGTTGTATCTAACTCGAGAGCAAATATATAGTCGTCTCCACCCACTCTTCCGTTCCGCTCCGTTCGAGATCCACCCACGGTCGCGATCTCCGATGGAAATCCGATGATTCCCATAAACAAGGGGTGGGCGAGATTGGAGGCGGCATTGGAGGCGGCTCTGGGCCTCTCATTACTCGATTCGGGGCCCGGCTCAACAACCGACCGATCTCGTATCGGAAGGATCTATCTGGAGTACTCAGATACATAGGTAGCCGCCTCCTATACGTGATGAGTACGAAGTGCGTCAAAACCGAAACCCTTCGGCGGATGCCTATCGTGATTCTGATGGTGCGGCGAGGTAAAGTGAGGCCGGGTGAGACGAGGCGAGGTGGTGTGATAAATTCGAGGAGCAGAATATGAATTATCAGATGGGGATCGATATGGAGAAAATATCGTTAATATGAATATGCTCGTGATTTATCGACCTGGTTCAAGTGTAGAGGCAATCGATTTTCGCGTAGCGAATAATCCTCTTATAAATCGCAGTTATTAACTCGGGCCGCGGAATCGTACCGGCGGCGTTCCTTCGTTCCTGCGTTCGCAGCAATGTAACAGCTGTCGGGAATTCAGTTGAAATTGATTGATGAGGTTCTCTTTTGCAAGAAAAGTCTCGACTAATTGAGCGACGAAAGGGGAGAAACGCCGATAGGAAATATTTGGGGTGTCTTCATTTCTTCTCACTGTTAATGCAAACGTTATTCATTGATTCACAGCAATATTTCAAAAGAAATTTTGTATCGACGAAAACTAAAATGTTGCGCTATAAAAAATTTTTTTACATAGAAAAGAATACGGTAATTTTTGGGTGTAGGACACATGAAGAGTCGCAAGCATCGTTCGATAAAGTCGGTTTCTGTAAAGCCGCTGGAATCCTTTCTCCAACGGCCTGTGCTTCCATCTTGTAATTGTAAGCGATACTGAGAGCAAATAATACCGGATAATGGTATATATTACATATCGATAAAATATCCTCCTACGTTAAAATAGTGAACTCATCCTTGCCTCATTTTCGCTAAAGCTGATTAATCATTCCTAAATAAACTGGTGCTTGTTTCTTGCAAGGCGAGCTATCATCACGGAGATTGTAATGTCGAATTATAAAAAATTGCTAGCTTTAGTATAATCTAATTTGAAAAATTTGTCGTTGTAATATAATATATAATATTTTAATATGTAATACTATTATTATTATTAATATTAAACATCTTTTTTCTTTTTTCTCTGACTAATTATTCGTTCATTTTTTATTTACAATCACAAAAAGTTTTTAACCCTCGGTAAATATCAGAGAAGAGAAAAGCTGTAAGTTAAAGCAAACAAATGGAAGCAGAAAGAGAATGCAAGAAGCGTCACTAATTCCGTATTAAATTCGAGTTGAATGCAATCGTTTCCACGCGCTTATATGTTTGCTTATGAGATTATAGGAAACTGGAATAACCTAAAAGTCGCTGTTTACATTCCAACCATTCTCTGTAGATTGAAAGATGTTTGTGTTTTTTTCAATTTAGGGAATAATGAGTGAGGACTCGCAGTGATTTCGTTTCATGAAGTTACTATTTATTAGCACGATAATTATTACATACAATATTCATAAAACTTATGTCTTCAAGTGATTAATCAATGCGGATACATGTTACGAAACGTAACGAGATACAAATATATTTATATCACAGTCGTAGATAATGAAATTAATATTAATTCGAAGTTGTGTTATCTACTTAAGTGTCTAGGATAATCGCCCGGGGTCCCCGCAAAGAAACCTGCGACTCACGTGACCGAAGTGTGCGTACAAAAATCCCGCTGGAAAGTATTACATCCGTCTTGGATAATACGAGAGAAAAAACTATCCCGGGCGAACTTCTAACTTAGAGATACGCTGACACGCTAATTATAATCTTAATAGCTAGAGGTTTGATTCGCGTGGATAAAGTGAAACGCGCGCGCTTTGTTTCTCCGCTTAGCGAAACGGAAGCGACACGATGACGATGCTGAAGGGACGTCGGACGAGCCGCGCGGATAATTTCTAAAGGATAAATTCAAGTCGCTCTAATGATCGCTATCGCTGCACATAGGTACCTATTGTTAACTGTGCTTACACGTGGGATGGTGAAACCAGTCTTCTAGCGAACGTCGTGAAACGACATTTTCGCGCGCGCGACTCCCTCCGGAAGCGAGTCCGCTTCTCGAGGAGAAGAACAGACGCCTTCGTTTTCGGTCGTAGACTAATTGCGTCTAAGTGAAATGACACGTGAAATGAATATTTTCATAGTGGTATAATGAGAGAAACATAATTGATCGTACTGTCGATAGATAAATACTAGGAAGATGCAACACACTTGCTTTGGCGACAAATTACAGACAAATGTAGGATCGTAAAGTTACTTTCCTCTTTTCTTTTTTATAACTCTATATTGTATGTAGTATAAAAAGAACACGCACGTATTACTGATCACACATCATCGCGTTTTGTATGGAATATAATAATTAACACATTTCTTTAAAAGAAAGAAGGAAAGAGGAACCTTGCAACAGGAATATGCAAAAATTCCATTTGCATCTAAAGAAAGATGTCCTTTCCCTTTTTTCATTTCAGAAGTCAGCTGTGTTGGATGTTATTTCACTTGGACAGAATCAACGACGGTGGACCTCCGTGTTTCAACATTCTTCCGAGCATATGGTTGACAACAAGATCGAGAATCTTTCTACCGGTGTATCTACGGAGACACATCAATGACCCGAAACGGTAGGAAGTAGAATTCACTATATTTGGACACGTTATACACGCCATAATCCGTCTATAATTCTATCTAATTTAGTTAATCTATTTAACATCGTGATACGTTATTACGCGAGCGTGTTTACGAGGGCGCGCTGGAAACGTTTGTTGGTGAATTCGCGGTGAACTCGTATGTTGTACATGCATAACGACATGTCTGTCAAAAAACTGTCGGCACAGACAGACTTTCCCAGTTCTCTCTCAAGTCTTAATGTCAAATGGAAGCGCTCGGTACTCGATCTGTCGAATCTCGATTGATTGTGGAATTACTGCATCTCTTCCTTCTCGCTGATTCGCGTACTTTGGCACAATGTCCGTTTCCAGCGCGCGCGCGCTGTCGCTCATAATCTTCGCCGTAATCTTATGATTTAATTTGCATAAACCTTCGGCGGTATATCGCTCTTTGATTTATCGGCTCTGTCGACGCTTGTCGGCGTATCACTCTCGCTCGTTTGCAATCGTGATCCCGCGGTGAAGACGTCGATTAAACGTACGATTGCTACACGTTGACGGCCCCGTTTCACGAAGAAAACCGGGTCTCCCTCCCTCGTTTCGATATCTCATGACATCACTTCGAGAATCACGATGACACTTGAAAACGCTCCGGCTCTTCGCTGACCTAAAAACACATTGCATCATCTTTCTTCGCTATGAGCTGAATCAACGGCAAAATCGGCAGTAAAATTGCATAAAAGGTGACACCTCACCGATTTTTTTCTTTTTGAAGTATGTTATAGAGAATGAAATTCTGAGTAACTTTTTTCTATACAATTATATGTCGCGTATAGTTTCGGAGACATTCGACTTTAAAGTTTTCAAAAAGTGTAACCTATCTATTGAAATATAGTAAACTGTACACGTACATACGTAACCCAACCTTTACATTTTTATATATAATTTGTCAGTGGAATATAATATAAGAATACAAATGCAGAATACTTACTTGCGATATTTTTTGCATATAATATAAATTGAAAGATCTCAGACAGTATCTGCATTTGTATTCTTATATTATTTTCCATTGACAAATTATATATAAAAATGTAAAGATGGGTTACGTATATATATTGGAGGTGTGCATTAATTTTAAGGGATTTTTTAGTAAAAATACGGCTTTATTGTGAAAAAATGATTACAAATTGATTATTCAAAATATTGTCCATCGCTAGCCATTAGCGAATATCTCCGAAACTATACGCGACCCCCATATAGCTGTATAGGAATAAGTTACTCAGAATTTCATTCTCTATAACATATTTCAAAAAGAAAAAAGTCGATGGAATGTTACCTTTTATGCAGTTTTACTAAATCGGTGTTCTTCCTTCGAGTCACAATGGCAAAGCACGAATGGACTTTTCCTTTAATTAAAGACTACTGCCATTCTATCTTTAAGTACTTTGCTCTGAACTCCAATTGCCTGTTGTACGCTGAATCAGCTGAGGAAGTATTAAATTTAGCATGCCCGCGACGTCGGTTTCACGTCGCAATTGTTCGCGCTTTATAGTACACTTTCGGAGCCTCTTTTAACCCCTTGAGTGCGTATGACACGTATACGTGTCATGAGCGAGATGGACCCGCAGTGTGTGACATGTATAGAGGTGTCATGAGATTTAAAAAATTGTTTTAATATAAATGTTTTAATATAATTGTTTTAATATAAATGCCTACATATGTCAGTAGACTAATTTATTATTTATCATATTTACGTTGTAAAGAAAGAAAAAAATTGTTACAATTATATTTTATTTATATATTTTATTGAGACAAATTATGTATATTTGCATCATTATATTAGGCAACAATTACACGGCCTTAATAGCCTTTAAAAAACTCATATAAATTAATATTTAATAAAAGAAGTATAATTTTTTGGTTTTTTCATATTTTTCCATTATGCGGTCCACCATATTAGATCCGCCATTTTGAATTTATCAATTTTAACAACAGATTATTATTCACTTCGGAAACCTTTTGTACGTGTATGTTACATTTTATTTATTATTTAATGCTGCACACTTTGGGCTCACTTGTGCAATTTAGGTCTCCGCACTCAAGGGATTAATGTCATTTTCATCACGGCTGCCGCGCATTTTGAATTACGCCGCGTACAGAGCCGGGTATTTTCCTCACCAGCGCGGAGAAAGCCTTTCTTTTTTTACAGCGAATAACAACAATGTGTATACAGCCGATGCAACGCCGAAATACGTCCCGCATGTATTTGCATGGTATTTTGGCGGTGCGCGGCGCGCTCCGCCGTTTGTTTTGGAGATTTCGCGCCTTTGACATCCCGTTACGCAACGCTTGCTTTTTCTGCCGCGTTACATCGTGCGATTCGAATTACAAAGCGCGACAAGACAGTCGTCCATCTTCTACCTGAATTTCCACCTGAACGTGTGCACACGTAAAACCGTCGCGTGTGCGAGATAAGACCAGCAATTATTACTTTCCGCTTTCGAGGCAAACGGCAATTATTGCTTTCCGCTTTCGAGAAAAACAGACCGTTGACGCATTTTGCAACCGCGTATGACGCATCTGTATCCTCGTTTGTCACTTCTTCTCTTCCATTTGTCGATCCGTCACTCTCCGTATCTTCCTCGCGTTTGGATCCTTTCTCCGCTTAGTGCGAAATGAAACGTCCGACCAAATGTTCACGCGGCACAATGACGATGACGAAGTGATCTTTGAAGAACGTCTTCACAATGGCGTCTTCCATAACGGAACTTCTTAGAACTCCAACGTTTTTCCATACGAGAGTTATTATCGCGAATTACTCGCGCCCCGGCTCGACGTTTCATAGAACCTTCTCTCTTCGCGTTTATAACAAGTCTCACGACACCGATAGCTACGATCCGAAGGACTCTCGAAGAGAGTAGAACGCTACGTGACTCAGAGAGTCGCCTCGAGGTAACTTTCTGTTTCGCCCGGGGCCCGCAGTCAACATTCGCAGCCGCAGACATCATCAGTCAGTCTCTCCTTTGACAGAGAGAGAGGGGGAGAGAGAGAGAGAGAGAGAGAGAGAGAGAGCGTGCTCAAATCGAAAGGATTGATGAATGCTCCGTCTTGGCCCATGGATAATCTCGTAGCGCGCGACTGCGACACTGACGGATTAGACCCTTCCGAGAGCAGACGAGGCTTCCGCCTGCGAATATCGCGAGCGTTTCGTGCTTCTCTTCGTCTCTCCGTGGCTCTTCGGCACTCCTCTTCGCCGAGCTCTCCCCGTTCTTCGTCTCGGGACGATGCTGATCACTACGCGAGGACGAGAGGACTTACCCTCTTGCTTAACCTTTAATTCTTACCAGCTAATTAGATGATTATATCAGAAGAGACACGAGAAGATGAAGATAAATTCGAGTAAAACTACAAAGGAGCTTCTCGCCAGAGGCTTCTTGAGACACAAGTATCCGCCTCCTCTTCGTCGTTAAAGCTTCGTCGATATATCTCCTCTCCCTATCCTTGAATCTGCACGATCTTCCTCTACAACTACTGCGTGACAGAGGAGGAAGAGGAGGAGGAGGAGGAGGAGGAGGAGTGAGAAGATGAAAGATGTCGATCATCGAATCCGCGGTATGGTCTTCCACTTGTTTTCGCCTCCCGTCGTGCTCTTGATGCTTCCAAGCCAATCGCGCGCGATAATAATTCGCGATAAAGCCGGGGGATATATCCTCGAGACTTCGCCCTGTGCCCTGCCGCACCCTATCAGTGATCGGTCATTACTTCCGGGGTAGACGGCGGGGGTCGGGCGTCGCGCTACGTCCCTAGGAGAGCTTGGAGGCGTCAGGCTTGTCTCAGAAGTTCGCTTCCAACGAGCTCTCCAATTCGCTCAGGGCCGGCACCAGCGTCTGCAGCGAGAAGTATCGCGACCGATCGGCCGCGTCCACGCTGGTCACGTGCTGGAACTGACACGGCTGGCTGATGTTGCTTTTGGCCGGCAGCACGACCTTCTTCTGCACCGGCTTCTTCTTCTTCTTGCCCGGCACCGACAGACTGATATTCTCCGGACAGGACACCAGGCGCTCTATGTGCTGCCACAGGTCGTTCGCCGCCTTCGAGTTGTCGAAGCTGAGTCCGGCCAGGCGAGTGTGATCCGAGGAGAGACACATCGTATGGAAGGCCGGTCCCGACACCTGCGACATTCGTTTATGAAAGGCTCTTCTGTCAAGATCATTCGCCTTTACTTTTCTTCTTATCGTCCCGCTCGCGTAGAACACAAAAGATATTGAGGGCGCATTCTCTCGAGAACTTGTCACTTCTAAGGATTCGCGATACACGAACGCTTACGCTTACACGCTTTACTTTGCTCGGCGTGCATCAGCAAGAAACTCGAAACGGTGTTAAATGTCCGATGTTGTAATTTAAGCCGCTTTTCAACGTGGCGCATCGTACATCAGCTAACGAGGTAAACGAAAGGCTTGAGCACGCAGGAACGCGAATTGTTTATAACTACAGCGTGCATCATGAATACAACTCGTCTCCAATTTCGCATTGCAATTCGAAATCGAATATCAATTATTCATTAATATTAATTCTACAGGCTGTGCATTTCGTGTAACGAGTCGTGTATTATTGGCGTTTGAGAAATGTTTGTATGCCGACTGAAGTAGTTAATTAAAAATTTTCGGGAGAAGTAGACCGGGGTAGTACACAATGTTTTACCTTGTACGACGAGAGATTGTCGATGGTCTCGCGCCAAAGGGTGAAGCAAGTGCCGCGTTCGGCCAGTAAGATCTGAATTCGCCTCTTGGATCTCGATCGCGTTTCTCCGAGATCAAGCACTACTACGGGTATTCCGGTGAAGCGAAGCTCCCACCTTTCCGTTTGAGAGGCGCTTCCGAGATATAGGTTCGCCAGTGATTCGCAGACGAACACCTGAGGAATGTGAAATATGAATCATCATCCCTTAAAAAATCCCTTCGACATCGGATACTCCATTTTATTTTATATTTCGCTCATTTATTTACGGGAATCATCCCTTTTGGTACACAATATTCTCTAAAGTATATATCAGTGTATTCTTTACTTCTTTTGAAATGCTATAACTCTAGTGATTTAGTTACAAGTATAATACTGCAATTAATAAAATCTCGCTAAAAGAATCAATTAACACAGTAGCGACTCCCTATTATCGATGCAATTTGCAAATACAGACGTTGGCATTGCATGCAAATCACACGGAAGTCATTTATTCCATCGCCACAAACACATAAAGTTGAATCTGCGCAGCGTATAACGAATTTGTATACTATAGATATTGCAGTGAAATTTCACTTCCACTGTTCAAAATCGGTGAAATATTAAACTGAGCAGTAAAGTAGGAATATTTCCATTGAAAATCAATAAATATTCACTGATTATTGGTGAAATATTTCTTTTATCGGAAATATTTTTACAGATTTATTTTATATAAAAGAGTACACTGAATTAGTACAATCAAAGAGAGATAAATTAAAAATAAACGAACTAAAAAAATCGAAAAATCGAAAAGCAGAGCAGGGGACGAAAAGAGAGATAAAGTAGATATGGTTGAAACGTATTTACGCAATTGAAACATATTTCCCTTCGACTTCTCGTTAATAATTTGTTATTATTTCTCAATCAACCTCCGTGTATCGTGTAAGTGAGTCTCGTTGCCAATAAAGCTTACCTGCGACTTTAATCCGCGGAAAAATGTCTCGAGTTGCTCTCGTTCCATCTGACTGACCGGATCGAGACGGGACTCGTCGCTGTTTTCGGAGCTGTCGCTACCCTCGTAGCTCGAAGTAGCGGAAGTGTCTGCCTCGCCCGTCGAGGATAGTCGTCTTCGTGTGGTGCCGCTGTATTCGCTGTAATAGGATGAACTGTGCAGCGACAGATTCGACTGCAATGCGGGACAAGATGACGCGTAAACCGGCCCGTTCATTGTTGCCTGAAAAAGGAAAAGGGTAAACGTCAAAAATCGAAAACCGACCCTCTCGCGAAAAATCGTGGCGAAACCTCGAAGAAAAATCGTTTTTTTTTATAACAAATTACACATTATTGTAAAATATAGTACGTATAGAAAAATTTCCGATAAAAATCGAAAAAGTTATAATGATGAGATCTGATAATAATCCCGTTCAACTCTTATTACGTTACATCCTTCTTTAATATCAACAATAGGAACATACGGAGTCAGGATTGCACGATATCGGTTGTTCGTTTTTGCCGCCGGAATATATTCAATAAGCATATAGAAGGATCATTATATAACGGAGAAAGAAAGAAAGAGAGAACGAGGGGGAGGGAAAGAAGAGAGAGGGAGGAAGAGATCACCGCCCTTCTGCGGGCGCGCGCAAAAGCTCATCGATTTCTGGTACACCCTGGGATTGTGCGAGCACACCGTAGTGCCATTCTATAAATACCCACGACCCCTTTTATTAAGCGCAGGCTCAATTACCCCAGGAATTTCGATCGTCATCAAAAAATATACTTGCCGAACGAAAGCGTAAGCATAATCACAACGTAACTCAACCTACTTACTTACGCACTGTATCGTCACGCTAAGCTGACCGCGCACGTGTGACCAAAATATTACAATTAGCAATTAATCGCATTAATGCTACATCTAAAAAAGAACCAAGAGATTTGTATTTTTAATGATACTCTTTAGGCGGCAAATCTCGAAATTGTTTGAATCGGGCAATGCCTTCTTTTCCCTTCTGATTAGCTTTATTATTGTTGCATCGAGATAGGACAATAGCCTACTAGAATAAATTCTATATTGCTTCAAGTTTGACAGAATTCGGAGGGTTAATTAATATATTTGCTACCAATGTAGCGTATGTGTAGCGTATGACACAACAGTCTCTCACCAGAGACCAACGTCACGTACGTGTAAAAAATCTTTTTTTCATGTTTATATCATCAAACTAAGTCTGTCTTACAAAATTACATAAAAAAATACGAGATATTCTGTAAGGAGAATCTTACAAATATATCGTGATAGCGAACGTATTAAGGCAAGGAATATCAATTCCCAAACACTTAATTCTGGATATTCTTATTCTGATAATTATATCTTTGTTGTTTTGATCTTTAAATTCAAATATTTAAACTTTCAGCATATATATATATATTTTTTATGTTGAAAATTTAAATTAAACTTTATTCAAAGTTAAAGTTTACTCAGTTTTATTAAGTAAATAAAGTTTAAATTTACTAAGTTTAAATTAAATTTGTATCTAAAGACTAAAGTAATAAGAATTGTTTAGGATTAAGTACGTATCTGAGCATTGGTACTCGTATCTTAAGATGCAAACTTTCGCCTCGCGGCATTATGAATCACTTGAACGAGCCGCGTAAACCAAGCACAAGAATATTCCGCGAGATACGCGAAGCTCCGTACAATTTCATGCAAAACGTAAACGAGATAAAAACTGGACGGTAGAAACAGAGAGAGAGAGAGAGAGAGAGAGAGAGAGAGAGAGAGAGTGAGTGAGTGAGTGAGAGAGAGAAAGAGACTCGCAACGCCTTGCGCAGGGGTGGAGGACCTCTTCACGTTTTTCCCGGCGTATGGCCTCAGAGGTGAGAAAAACTAGGTCGTCGACTTCGATACCGCGATGACGTAAAGGAGAGATACCGGCAGCCGCACCGTGAGAGAGCTAATCGGTCGGCGACCAACGGTGCGCGGGGGCGACCCACTTAATGGCCGCGAGAAAAGCCCGGCCTTAATTTGATCGGTGCGTTTCGAGCTATTCGGATGACTAATCGCGCTGTCCATGCATTATCAGTCGCGGTTCTCGACTCTGAGAAGGAATTCCACTACGAACAGCTACGATGACGATGACCTCGCGTCGCGCGACCTCCTCTCGTTCATTGATGGTGACTGCAACGGGGACGTGTCCGATGCTCGATCGTGTCAACGATCCGCCGGCACTTGACAGCGCGTTACTCACGATCGCTGCTGACGCATCACGCGCATCGCCGCTGATCTGACCTTATTAACCCTTAAACGGATAGCAACGGAAATCGATTTTCTTCTGGCGAAATGCGAGCACGTTCCCTTACGTCTCGCGGAACCATCGGTTCAGCGAAATCGTTTTCATTGACGTGACGTTATATTTTCTCGGTGCGCGCATGTCACCGATAGATCTGACAGATGATATAAATTTTTCAGTCCGAGCCGACGCAGGTCGGGTAAACTAGAGATGTAACGTATTGCGCGTTTAGATCGTTGTTGCAAGCGTATGTGCGTGTAACGATAAAAGTCTTTTTAATTGGGAATAACTGCGAGAGAGGTTGTGATCGAATCAGATCGTCGTGACGAAAACAAAGCAAAAAAGAGAACGGTCCATGCTCTGAATTGAATAGAAACAAAATATTGAAAATCCGTATACACTCCCCTTGAACGATACGTAAGGAACGTTGTCCCCTTTGGAACGATATGTAAAATTCTGTTAGGATTCTTTCAAAGCCTACTTTTGTAGGTCAAATATGGAAATGAGCGGGAAGAACTCTTAAGTTAATTAACACGACGGAATATTTCGTGACAAACCGGTATATTCATCACGCTAATTGTAACCGCCGGTGTAATGTATAATTCAGTAGGACTCTCGTTTCTACGTGGCCGGTGTAGGTACGGGAACGAGCAAGTTCCGAAAAAAGTCACGTTCGAGATAATTTATCTGAGGCTACGACATGCCACGTCAGATAGGAAACCACACGTTAAAATAGATAGCGGGCCAATATAGCGAGTTGAATACTGTAAAATAATACACAGTACTCCATCACAAACTGCACATGCTAAGAGAGCGTGTTCTTGAAATCAGTTTAAACAAAAAATTGTTTCCAAGCATGAATGAAATTTACAATAGCAAGTAAAGCTCTGAATTGAATTATAATTTTTAAAATGTCTTATTGTTGAAACGAATTCAACATAATAGAAGTAAAAATTATTGAACAAGAGAACAATAGTTAAGGATCACACAAGTTGTTCAAATTAATCCTTCGGTTATGATACATCGCGTACTGCAATCTGTGAAAATGGACAGAGTAACCGTACGTGAAGAACCACGTGATTGTTTCTTATTGGAAGATTAAGAAAAGCGAGCCACACCTAGTTCTTAATTTTGCACACCTGTATCTAGGTAACTATTGTAAATTTCATTTATATAGGAAGTTTTCTGCTTAAATTGATATAAATTTTAATATGCGGAAGAAAAAATAAACTGAAAACATGTTGGGTTATTGACTCAACTGGGATATGACTCTATCTGGTTGTTTATCTGGTTCTGTATTTTCACTTTGTCGTTCAGAGGTTACTATTACAATTGTGCGCGTATATATGAGATGCAAAATTAATAAACAAATAATGTAAGGGTCCTCTCGAGCATATCGCCGTAACAAGGTCACATGACTCTGGGAACAATACATACTCGTGTACGAAACTGCCGAGCAATCATAACAGTCCTTGACGCGACGGTAATAAGATTGGAAGACGTGGCACGCGATTCCCGAAATTTACGAGTTGATCGAAATGTGCACAATTCGCGCGCGCAATCATTGTGCTAAGATCGTTTTGAGTAATGGCAGTATCCTCGAATATTGAGGGTAACTATTGTTTTTTATTTTCATATTTTCACTCGTCTAAAAGAAGAATACGTTGTTCTGGATTTCTGAGACGTTGATGTTTATCAATGTAACTAATCAAAAAACTCGCTTTTCGTTTCAGATCAACTGGAGCTTATAGCGACACAGCGAGTGCGGTTTCCAGGAACTGCAGTTGCCGTGGATGCAGATACTGTACCGGAGGATCCGGTTCGGGCCGAGCAGGATTGGCTCGAAGGTAGGTTTATTTTTCCCGCGCTTTTGCATTCAACTCTTTGCAATTGCAAACTGGGACGTAGTTGTCGAAATAAAAAAAAACTTTGAGTTACGAAACAGTCGTAAAAGATTGACAATTCCGTGCCCCACGAGTATTTTTCTCGTCCAGTCATGAGCCCTTATATTTAATCGACACTTTTTTTTTGTTGCAGATGTGTAGCAGAACGTAGCCGATCCTGAGTTCCCGATATATCGGTGAGTTATGAACAAAGATTTAAGGTGGTGGGTTTGTTAATGGTTAAGCAATACTTAGAAGAAATCAATGCGATTTGTCTAGCTTGTAGATTTTTGCATGTACACTGAAAGAAAAAGGATGTTAATCTCACTCACAGTTTATAATCGTTGTTAAACGTTAGCCGTATGTTCTTTGTTGTTTCAATAAAAACTTAATAATGCAATATACAGAGCTATTAATCGATTAAAGTTACATATAGATTTCATTACTTGACTATAATTATTTCATCGTACAATCACAGATGCTAAATACTTTTCTTTCAGTGTAAGGTTTTGCATGTATGTGTTTGTGCCGTTCCCTAAAATGCTGCCTCATCACAAGAAATTCGCGATTATTACTTCGATCGCGATGAGTTTTGCGATCCTCACAATCGACAATTTCCTCAATTTTTTATATACGAGTTATAGTTTGCATTTCATCCAAAATTAGAATTCGATATTAATATTTATTCTTTCTATTAAAAATCAGAATCCTCGCAAAATGAGGACTTCGTATTTTAACGAAATATATAGAATATGAACGTCCGCGAAACGGGATATTTTTTCTCTTTTTCTTTCGATTTCATCTCTCTCGATTTTATGGAAAACTTTGTAGCGTTTCGTTTACGATTCTTTACACACGACTCACGATTCGCGCATATATTTCTAAAGCATAGGAGTCGCGTACGCTTTTCGTTAAATCGCCCTGCGCCATTGAAACGAACGCAGTCACGAGTGCAGTGAAATAAAGTGAAATGAGAGAAGAGCGACCGACGTGGGACCGATAGCTGGGTGCTGAGTAGCAGTCATCTGTCCTGGACCTGGATATTTGTCGCAGGATATCGACGCACGAGTTGGTGAGTGTATAATTTGAACGCTCACGAAGCGCTATATTACGTAGAACTTTGATCTGAAAATCGCATTGATTGCCAATTAAAGTAGTTACCGCGTGCAATTTATCCATTGAGACATTGCAAAATCAATTAAGGAATATCCAGGGAGCGATGACGCGCGATAGCGCGCGCTTGTCTAGTTATGCAAATGTTCTTTCTTCACCATGTCGGTGAGGAGAGCAGAGAATATAAAATCGAGAGAAAACCAAAATCGGACACGCCGAGGACTCTCTCGGATACGCGAATGACTCTCCCTTTCACAATCGACCCGCATCTATCGTCTACGGGTCTCGCTGTCGCGCGCGTTGCGATATCACGGTGGCGTAACATTACAATTTGAAACGCGAGCCGGTCCGTGTCCTCCGTGCGCGCGAAACGCACACCGGAAGCGCATTGTCCATGTTGCGGCGGGAGATGCGTCATTGTTCCGCGAACGCGCGATAAGGGTCCGCTCTGTTTCGCTTCTAGATAAACCGCGGATAATTACGATCGCACGCCGCCTCGTATTCTCACGAGAACAGCGCGCGCACGCACACGCTCACAGCGGAAAATAATTATCAGGCGGATTAATTGGCGAGGTAGACAGCGCGGTTGTGGGACTTCCTTTATTCTCGAGTAAAAGTCTCCAGGGTTCAATGATTTTCCTGTGCCGCCGGCTGAACGGCGAGCTCCTTTGCCGCTGTGTTTCACGATGAATCTTTAATTTCTACCATTTCTTAATTTGTTCGCACACATACTAAAATATATATTGAATTCGAGTGAACGTTGCTTCTTTCAAATATTTTGTAAATTTATAAATCCGTAAAATCTACCATAAATCTGTTAGAAGCATCAAATTTATACAAAATATACATTCTGAATCTTAGTAAGTTTAGCACATTTCAATTAAGAATATTCAATTAAAAATTCGTTTTTTGCCTACTACATAGTATCTTTTCTTACAATAAGGTATTACAATATTCTTATGAAGGGAATAAATTTTTCTAAAATAAATTTGTTGTTTTACGAAAGTGATAATGAACTTTCTTAAAATTTGTGTGATAAATATATTTTAAGACTCTCTCTCTCTCTCTCTCTCTCTCTCTCTCTCTCTCTCTCTCTCTCTCTCTATCAGAGAAATTATTTGGGTTATTGAAGATAATTATTATTTATAAAAAAAAAGTAAACTGAGTAATCGCTTTTCTTAACAGCAGAATAATATTTTTTATCTGTAGATAAACAGTACTAATAAGAGTCCACGCAAAATATTGGTTGCAAAACACACTATGTCCACAACTGAATCAAGAAATGGGGCGAACATTGAACTTCCCGAGAAAACCAACTAAATTCGTTGATTATTTTTTCAGAACGTTTCGTATGTGTTTCGCAATCAACATTCTGCGTGAATTTTTATTGGCTTTTTCTATATGTGTTTGATTGTGCATCTGACAATTCATTTAGTATTTTTTTCTTAATACGTTTTTCAAGCGATATACGGTTGAATATTTTTACTTACGCAGTTATAACTTTCATTATTTGTCGTCTTGATTTTTCTGCTTTGATTTTCCTCGTCGATATTAACAAATTTCGTTTGGCCGAGGTGTAATAAGCGCGTTCGCGCTTTTTTGTCCGGAACGGGCGGTTACGTAGAGGTTCACTCAATCGCGAACACGAGGAGTCGCTGAAAAGTGGAACGACGGTAGTGTTTCTTATCGCGTTGCTCCATTAAGGAGCGATAAACCGCGCAGAATGCACTTAGGGAAAATTCGAGTGACGCGTCCCGACAACGTCGGGTTAATTGCGAGTTGTAACGGTCGAATAGTCGCGGACGAGTAGCTGAAAGTCGACATAATGCCATTCGCCGTAATTACGATCGTTAAAGTCTCCAGACCAAGTCGCTCGCGAGTGAAGATTGCTTGCCTTTGAACATTTGAATGAACTTGAGGAGAGAGAGAAAGAGAGAGAGAGAGAGCTCGATTTCGAAGCGACATCCGCGCGGAAGGATTTTATTAAAATGATTCACGTCTAAAATAATCTCGTTCAAGCGCCACTCAAAAGATAGACCGGCGATACGAGAACGATATCGCGTGTGATATCGTGCCGTCAAAAAAACAAATTGTACAGTAAATCTTGAAGAAAGAGCAAAAAGGAAAATAGTTCGGAAATAGTGCAACAGTTCGTCGGCGCTCGCGCGACGATCGACAGGAACGTCGCCTGGTCGAAGATGAAAGATTAATTACTGCTGGACTAATTAGTTTCGTGCCTGCAACGAGGTCCCGGCTAAACGTCCCGGCTGGAAATTTATAGCATCTCCGGTGCGAGCGAGCGCGCTCCGTCGAGCGTGAAACGTGCTCGCAATTAAAAGTAGGTAACCCAGAGGCCTTCGGCTCTATTGTCGGCCTGTCCGGGTTAGAGCATCGCTCTTCCGCGGGCCATTTGTTTCGATTAGCGATACAGTTAATTGCTTTCTTTCGCAGGCCGCGCGGAAATTCGGCGAACTTTTGTTCGCCGCGCGTATACCGCGCATGTACCGTTGCCATAAATATTAATTAAAGCGCCCGACACGGCGTGCTTTAAATTGATTCTCATTCTGTCTCTCGGGAGGAGGAAAAAAGAAATAAGAGAAAACAGAACGCGGGAATAACATGCGTATTCGTTTATCGTAGATCTCGATTAGCTGTGATTTGATCCTGCTTGAATTTCGACGTTCAATAGGCTCAAGTGAAATTTCATATTTCAGAAAAGACTGCAGCTTCAAAATTTTAACAGATTTCGATCTGCATGACTCCTCAAATCTTTTTAAAATCTGAATCAGGGTTTGAACATTTTAATATCAATATCTGTGTCTGATGTTAAATAGAGATATAAAGTGAGTTATCTTCTGTTGGGTCGAAAAATGTTTCTAGATCTAACCTCTTAGATAAAAATTTAACTCGAGACAAAGTTGTTTGAAGTTTCATTAACTTTTATTAAAAAAAAAGGAAAAAAAGCATCAAAATCGATTCAAACTTCGAGACTTTCCAGTTTTATTTGAAACATAAAATTTCATTTGACTTCATTGTGCGATGGCGTGCACTTGTAAACTGTGGAGGTACGGCGCGAAAATCTCCACCATCTCCACTTTCCTTCCTCGTTGAATTGATGTCTGATCTTAGTTATCTGATTAATAAAAATTTGAGGGTGATTCCGATACAGATCTCCCTCCTGAAGATACATTCTCTGCTCTAAGTCGCACTTTCGAATATCTCCCCCCGGTTACTTCCCGATGCTCCAGCATTTTCGGAATGCTGCTTAAGGTGCGGCGCGTCGTTCTTACGACGACGATGCATCTCGCTTTCGCAAGAGCCATGTCGACGATGTGGTGTGCTGAGACGCGCGTCTCTCTCACTGCTCGTGACACTCTCTTCCCGGATATCTCTCGTGTCTGTTGCGTGATACTCTCCGCCTCGCGCGTCTCTTCGCACCGACGAGAGCAACTTCTCGATCGCGTCTCTCGACACAGAGAGAAAGAAAGAGAGAGTCGTGATGGCACAATAAATGCAAGTACAAACGACGACGCAATCTATCGACGCGACTTTAGCAGCCGGCCGTCGTCTTTCGTCTGTTTCTCACTGGTTGTTTCTCGACGGCTGCTGCGGCCGTCGCCTTAGTCCCTTTCCGCTGCACTCAACCGCTTTCCGTCATTCCGGCCCGCTATCTTGCCTACATTGTTTTCCCCGCCTCGATGCTCCATTGCATTCTCTGCATTATACTCGCGTCCCCGTCGCGTGCCTCTTATGCATAGCGACATCCTCTTCCCGGTGCATGTGCACGCGGGATGCATTCGCGTCGCGGAAACGCGGCTGAGCGGTGCAACGACCGGCGTGAATTCCGCGTGTGACGCACCGAGAAACTTCGCAATTTCCAGCGGTTAGCGTGTTTATAGATACGTAAAGGCACTGTTACGAGACAGCGAGGTGTAACGAAGACAAAAAAGGGACGACAGACGAGAAACGGGCTCGTGAATAGAACGCGAAGAGGTGTGGGAGAGGAAAGGGAGCGCAGGGCGCGCACTTGTCACAAGTACAAGGTGCATTATCGCGATAACGTCGCGTTGCAATCGTCGAGCCGTGGAGAGTTTGGTTTGCTCAGACGATTAGATAACGCGGATATTAAATGCCCGGCCGTGTCACGCGGCATTCCACGTACTGCCATATGCATTTGAACTCGGCGCAGAAAGATATTGCTTGATCGAGAATCGCAGTAGCGGCTGCTTGAAACGTGCCTGCAAGTCCGGCGTTCTCGAAGCCGTCGAAAGGAAGTCGCAACTACTCGCAATTTAATATCACTGAGATGTTTTCCCTTGTCGTGTTTCTCTGTGCGTTTCCTACTCTTTATTTCCTGCCCCGCGTGCAGCCATTCTTCTTACGTCGGGCTTTAATTTACAAAGTATACGTCGCCGAGTTACACGGAAATATTTGAGAGATGCTCTCGAAAGTTTCGTTCTGCATTTCTTAGTAGGTAGGTGGATGCGTAGATATAGATAGCGAGAACCACTTCGTGTTTTAATATTTTACGTGACGGGAATGGCCATACGAATTAATGCTAACATTGACCGAGCACGAGACCGCGTCGGTTTTGCGTTACGTACGGTTGTCGCAAACCGTGTCGCGAACAACGCGACGCTCGGCAGCGCAACGCGCGCCGAGATTAATGCAACTTTGCGGCGCAACGCGCATTATTTCCTCTCCTCTGTCCTCGCTACGCTAATTACACACCACTTAATACACATTATTAAACACACGCACGATACCTAATTTCAATCTTTATCCGTGTTCTTTGCGCCTATCATTTCCGCGACGAAACATACTGTATCTTTCCCTTTAACTTTAATTAGTGGTCACACGGAGAGAATATATTTTTTTTCATATAATTCTCTTTTCAAGTTTATTATGGTTAGTAGTGCAGGCGGAGGGGGGAATAGACTGTTGTAGTAAGATCTATTTTGCTAAGGAACATAGCAAATTTTTTAATAGTATACTTCTGTTTTCTGAGATATAAATAGCACGTATAAAATAAAGGATAATAAGTTATCGCATTCTTTGCGTCTC